AATATTTAATAATAGTAATATTATTAATATACCACTCAGTAATGTAAATATAATATTTAGTAATGAGATTATATATGAATAACTAAATTATTTAGTTTTGATAGAATACGGTTACATGGTTAATTCATGTAAGTATATAATAGGACTGGAAGATCGTAGTGAATAGATCAACTTTATAGAGAATAAGAACAGGAAGAAGTTAAAGCGAAACGAAAATAATACATTGAGAAATGAATTATTAATATTGAGAAATATTAGTCATCAGAATATTTAATCATTTGACTTTCCAATGTTTAATAAAAACACTCTGCTCGTTTATTATCAATTTGCAATCATCGACATTCTAATCTAATATGAAAACAAGCAAATGATTGAAATATTTAACCGTGCGTGAATACGCTGAAGGAAGTATTTTCTGTTGCCAGAAGATGCATTAGCAAAATGAAAGGTTTTGGAATGCAATTTCATGTCTAATTATTTCTATTCGTTGAAGACAATTATAAGAGATGAAAACTTTTTCAGAAAGAAACATTAAAACCAAAGAAGCCTGGAGAATGGGATCGAGAATGGGATGTTGGCAAGACAAGGTCTATTATTTTCCCGGTATTTCATGGTAATGAATGCGATCTGGATATGATACTTTTGAATTCTTCTTTTTTTGGAAAGTTTTTGAAAAAAAATTTCAAGAAGTACAATTTAAATATAGAGAATGAAATAAAATATAACATATTAGTATAAAAGTTAGTTGAATTGAGTGTTAATATCAACTAAATTTATTTTTCTGTTAAAATTCTCACTATTTGTTTCATTTATTGATTCAGCTTCTGTAAAATTCTTCCAATTTATTATTCTTGCTTTCTAATCTTTCAAAATTACATGTTTGTGTTTAATAATTATAATTTATAATTTTCCGTAATTATAATCGTATTTGCAGTGTTGAAAATTGGAAAGAGAATGTACCCGACATCGACAACAACAAAAAAACCAATGTGCATTTTCTGCGTCGACTGAAAAGTTACAGTAATGGTGGCAAATGGAGCAACAATGTGACATCGAAAAAGATAGTTGAAATTAAGGAGAAGAAGCAAAAATTCGAAGGCCCCAAGGTGATAACTCGCACTGAAACGAACAAAAACACATCGCTACCAAATAAAAAAGTATTCTTTTTTACCGCTAATGCAAAAATTAAATGTTCAGAATTTCGCTCATCTTTGCTATATATTGAATTTTTTTTTATCATAGAAACGTAATAATTGATTGCAAAAAATCTGGAATTCTTAAGCAGGTAATAGAAATTAATGTAAAGCACATGTTACCTTAGATCTACGTATTTTTAGTTACTATCAGATATATAATGTCAAATTCAAACGCTGTATATTTCTGTCAATATTTGAAAATACTTATAAAAATCTAAAAGAAAAAAATTTCGCAAATTTCTGTAATCCATTTATTTCCATTTGTTTGCATTCATCTATTCCAGTATAATAGATTTTCAATGATTTGTGGAGTTATTTTCGTGTTATATGTTAAAAGTTTTGTTACTTGTTAAAAAAAAATTCTCCAAATTCATGAAATTACTTTTAAGTAAGATTTCACCGTTAGGATGTTTAAGATAATCTGAAATTGCTTCTTTAAAAAATATCATCAATAATTGAAGAAGTAAGCAATAATATAAGCGGCAAGAAAGCAAACAGTTTCACTAATACTCGAAATTTAAGATATTTAATGGCGAAAATTCGAAAAATTTGAAAAGTTCGGATAGCGGAAACAATGGCGGTACTGTATTACGGAATACTCATTGTATGAAACCGGTGAGTGGAGTGAAGCAGCCTCGTATATCTTCCAATGGACAATCAAACAGACAACCAACTAGAAGTTACAAGAAGTCGTCATCGGGACCATCCAGAAAGCGATATTCCACTCGACGAATTGCTTCCACTGCTGTTGCCGTTCCGGTACCGGTAGCGGTTAAAAAACATTTGGATACAGTTAAAGTGAATGTTTCGATGCTTGAATTGAAAAAGGTTCTTATTTCAAATTCTAATTTCAAGGAAGGAATTGAATTAGTTTTCCTAAATTTGGACTAGCAGGCTAGATTTGGATTCATTTCTAAAATATTCACACCAACAATTTCCAATTATTAATATTTATATGTTCCCATCAATGCATGTTTATGTATTAATTTCATCTTGACATTCAATAGTCAAGATTTTTTTTAGGTGACATTATTTATATTTTTCAATTTAATGCGTAAGCAAAATGGAAAATTGAATGTTTTTTTTAAAAATATTCATATGATATTGAACTGATTTGAAAAAGAGTCAACACCGATACATTCGTTGATAATTAAAATTTAAATATTGCCAAATTTTCTCTTGCAGAAAGCTCAAATCAACTTTAATTCTATAATTTGCTCCAAAATAATTTCTTCTTCAATGGAAATGAAATTTATTAACATTATAAATTGAATTGAATAACTTAGAATGCCATTCTCTATTATATGTGCAAGCGGAAGTATTATTAAATATAGTTAGTTTGGAGGATGAAATGTTAAGCTTAAAGAGTTTGACTCCCCTGGCTGTGTTGACTTTATGGCGCAACTGATGCAACTGTGCTGGCCAATTGCGCAACTAATGTCTTGTGTATGTGTGGAGATGTTGAGGAGAATGATATTTGGATTTGACTTCAGAATATTTACTTTCTTTCGAAGCATTCCCTGTTAGCATATTTTTACCTCTCTCTCTCTCTCGTCTCTCCGCATGCTTCAAGACATAACGTTCACTATGTTGAGCTCTGTGTACGCTTCGCCTCTGTTTTCCGTCGAAATGGCAAAAAGGCGAAATTTGATACCGAATCACAGTATCCCATTACGAATGGTTGCTTCTTCCCCTCTTTCACATTCTCTGTTACCCGCTCTTAGCATTTCCCGTTCTTTCCCATTCCTGAAATTATAAGCAAATAAGAGATATTTCAGGATGCTGCTGAGACGATCGCTAAAAGCAATAATAACATGGGCAAAGTTGACAACAACCTCCAAAAGCTGTCAACAGTCGTCGTTGATGTTGTGGCAGCCTCAACAGCCCCAACCCCACCCATTGTCGAAGAATACGGTAATTGATTAAAAAATTTTCAAGATCTATCAAAAAAGATGTCAAAAATTCCATAAATTTGGCATATTTCGTCCTATGTAAATTATGATAATAAGTTAATTCATGCTTTACCTTTCTATGGCTCACGTTCCAATTTATACTCTCAACTCTTTTGATTTAAAGTTAATTTGGCCAGAAAGGTATTTGTATAATTTGCTGAAAGAGTGCGAAATGAAAATGGGAATTTGAATCACGCCAAATCAAAAAAAACTACCAAAAAAAATTACGGGCTTTCCCACACTTTTCACCTGCAAATTTTAGTGGCTTCCAAGTAACAGATGAAATAAATAAATATTTGTATTTGGAGAGTAACGGCTTTTTTTATAATAAAATATGGATGAGTTGCCAACTCGTCATAAAACCGGTTACATTTAGAACATTTGAATAATGTGACAAAATTTAAAATTTGACAAATTATTAATAATTTACTTCTTTTTCAATTCAATTACATAAAACATATTAATATACTCACCCACCTATCCTTTAAGAATTCATTAAAATATTCCTTTCAAATTAATCATTTCGAGTAATTAATAATAGTTGGATAATTAAACGTGAGAGATAAGTGGACCTTTCTTCTGCTCTATCCTAAACAGTGATCATTTATATCCTTTGTCGACAACTCTTTGGAATTTCCAATATTGACTGGTGTTAATTTTCATTTAAGTGATTTGAGAATTATCGCATTCTAAGTGTTTGAAATGAATACATCTGATATGACACCTCAAAGGTGCCAATACGATGAATATAAATTTTTCTGGTGACCCCGAAAGCGATAGATCGTATAGCGGATATCACTGGATAGATTAGTTGACATAAAGCTGATGAAGTGGTTTCTTCGAATAATGGATTAAACCATCCGTTCATTCTCAGTAAATTATCTGCCTGACTTCCGGTGAACCGCTAATGACAACAGTCTTGTTCCATATTTTCTGTTAGCTCAGCTGGCTTTCTTTCGGATGGTCCAAAAAATCTTTTTCACATACTCTTCCTTTCTGATATCCAAGTAAATATGGAACATTCTTGAATAAAGATAAGAATTGTTTGATTGAAATTGCAACGCTGCATTTTTCTTTTTTTGCCAAAATAAAATTTTCAATTATTTCACGAAAAGTATTACAATTGCAAATGAAACTTATAAATTTTATTCTCCACGTTTTTAAATAAATGTAAAGATCTCATTCACGAGACACCGTTATTAAGCTAATTAACTTGTTACAGTGCATAATTAGATAAACTAATTATTATCATCATAAAATAGCTCTTTGCTGCAAAATATTAAAACAAAAAGAAATTCGTCAAAATTTCTCTTCATCGTTACCTTTTATTTCATTATTTTCCTTCAAACATTTTACTGTTAGCTCTTCATTTTATTCTTATAAAATTTTTCTTTCACAGAAAGCGTAAAAATTTCGATTGTTTGATATTGAAGTATACCAATCACAAAGTATTCCATTTCAGATATCAATGATAGCGATGTCATTATAATGGAAGATGTTAAAAAAATGATGAGAGAAATGTTATTGCAAATGGAATGAATTAGGAATAGTTGACATTAATTCATATATTTTATTGCTTATTTGTTCTCATCGAAGAGAGCATTGGTGATGAATTAATGAATTAATTGTATATTATTCATCTGTCTCGAAGATTTATGTTATCATCCTACA